TATTATTGAAATATTTATTTTATTTTTATATTTAAATAAATTATTTAAAATGTTTTAATATTTAAAAGACTAATAAAATGTTCAATTATATATAATATATAAAGTTTATTTTATTGATAATTAGCATCCAATGTTTAAAATATTATATTGATAGTAGTGTACAGGTTAGGGTTTGGCAGAGTCTAGTATCCAGTACATTTAATTGCAGATTTATTAATACAATATTCTTGAGGAATATTCACTGATAGACTGAGTTATAGCCAATGGAGTCAATAGAGTGCTCTTCACTCGTTTGCCAGCATTTCATCGATTTGTTGATGACTTGAATGAAAACAACTTTTGAAAGCCTATTGACAACTCGTATGCGAACCTCACAGTCATTCACGTGTAGTACAGTATATGCTTTTATATCCAATGATTCACTCATTTGTTAAACCATTTGTAATGACTTTCGCTTTTAAATGTATTATCGGTCACACAAATGACAATCATTTACAACATATGCCATGGATTTAAGTCTTAAAATTGGGATTAACTTTGAATAAGACATGGAATACAAGAGCGGATCCATTGCTTACTCGTTGAAGAAATATTCAAGTGATTTGTTCATTGGTTTATTGAATCAAGTATTTATTCATTCAAATGTCTATTCATATGATATTACATCAAATGTATTGTATATTCAGATCAATGGTCAAAAAGACTTGATATTAAGTCCACAATTGATTCCCATTTTTGATTTGATGTTTGGATTCACTCTTTTGAAAGTATGTCTTAAATGTCATAATAATTGCAATCAATTAATGCATCACTTGTTGTATCCTTTAGTCAAATGGTGTGCAAAAGATATATAAATTGGATTCACAGACTCCCTCCACTTCTAAGAAGTTTGACTTTCTTCTAGTTGTCATTGATTTGCCATTTTTCATACGAACCTAATCTCTTGTAGAGTCTGTTTTGTGATTGAGTCCACTCTAACGGACACTCAGATGGTGGCCAACGCTATCAATGCCGACAAACGAAGAGGTGCTGAAGATATTGAGTATTGGATTGTATTTGTTCCCAAAAAGGTTTTCATCCATAGTTTTAAAGTGGTCTCGATGCTAATGAATGCATTCAAACATTAGATCCAAATCTGTGACGAATGTCTTGAGAGGGAAGGCGTTTACCAATACATCACTCTTTTGAACTATCCTTTAGGTCTCATTCCTCTAGACATCGATCTCTTCTCATTAGAGTTTCCGGACTTTTATGCCAATAGTTTTTTAGTGAGTTTTATCGTTAAATATTTTTATTTATTATTTAATCAAACAATTGTTGTCTAAGTTTGGAGACCAGTGTGGACTCAGTCGCATAAACCAGAGTTTAAGTCAATTGCAAGGACTCGTTGGTCTTATATCCAGAGCTTATATTAAAGGCAAATACGCGACCATTGTTTCTGACTATTTGACTCAAACGTCGTCCGAGTCGGCCAACTCCCTGTCCACCGGATTTATTTCAGATCTAATTCTCGTGGATCGCGACGAAGACTATGTCTCTGTCCTAATGTCTCAATTGAATTATATGGGAGTAATTGATGAATCATTTTCTATAAAAAGTGGTAAATATTTGTCAAGCTCTACAGTATTTCACTTCACTTTAAAAGTGGTCTCGATGCTAATGAATGCATTCAAACATTAGATCCAAATCTGTGACGAATGTCTTGAGAGGGAAGGCGTTTACCAATACATCACTCTTTTGAACTATCCTTTAGGTCTCATTCCTCTAGACGTCGATCTCTTCTCATTAGAGTTTCCGGACTTTTATGCCAATAGTTTTTTAGTGAGTTTTATCGTTAAATATTTTTATTTATTATTTAATGAAACAATTGTTGTCTAAGTTTGGAGACCAGTGTGGACTCAGTCGCATAAACCAGAGTTTAAGTCAATTGCAAGGACTCGTTGGTCTTATACCCAGAGCTTATATTAAAGGCAAATACGCGACCATTGTTTCTGACTATTTGACTCAAACGTCGTCCGAGTCGGCCAACTCTCTGTCCACCGGATTTATTTCAGATCTAATTCTCGTCGATCGCGACGAAGACTATGTCTCTGTCCTAATGTCTCAATTGAATTATATGGGAGTAATTGATGAATCATTTTCTATAAAAAGTGGTAAATATTTGTCAAGCTCTACAGTATTTCACTTCACTTTAAGTTTATTTTAATTTNACCGGATTTATTTCAGATCTAATTCTCGTGGATCGCGACGAAGACTATGTCTCTGTCCTAATGTCTCAATTGAATTATATGGGAGTAATTGATGAATCATTTTCTATAAAAAGTGGTAAATATTTGTCAAGCTCTACAGTATTTCACTTCACTTTAAGTTTATTTTAATTTCTAAATTAAGGAAAAGTGGAATTTGGTGCCGAAGTAACAAAAAATAATGATAAAACTGGTGCCAAACATAATCTCTTAGCTGATCCAATCTTCGCCGATATAAAAGACATGTCATTTTCATCAGTGTTTTTAAGTCTCAAAGAAAAGGGTCAGAAAATCAGAGATATTTATAACCGAAGCCATAATATGAATATAACTGATATGAAGGCATTTGTGTCAAATCAATTGAAAGGATTACAAAATCAACACAAAGCACTTGTTTTACGTGAGTTTCGCCGAAATGTGTGAATGAATTAATTTTTTATTCTATGATTTATATAATGACAGACATCGGCGCCTGTGAGACAATAATGGAAAATAAAAAAGCTGTCAATTTTCCGGAACAGTTGACTGTTGAACGCAATCTCATCGAAGGCGTGGACTCCAAAACGTGTCTTCAGTTTATTGAAGAGGGAATTATTCGACAATTTGGTCCAATTGTCTCCTTAAGACTTATTTGTTTATATTCTATAACTCAATCAGGAATTTCATCTAAAGATTATAAGAATCTACTGAAACTATATCTGCAAAGCTATGGACATAAACACATTCTCACGTTTTTTAATCTCAAAAAATTGGGTTTAATTGTCGAGAATTCAGGACCAAATGTGTCGAACCTTAACAATCCTCTGATGGCCTCAAATATGATGTCATTCTTGCGCTCAAATGAATCAATTCGTAGGTTTCGACAAACGGTTAAGAAATTAAATTTAATTCCACAAATAACTGGAGACTATTATGACGTCCGCAACCCTAAGGACTGCGCCTATGTTTTTGGCGGCGCTTTCATTCCAGTCATCACTCGGTTCACTGAATTAGTGTCCGATTCCAAGA